GAGGGGCTGGAGCAGATTACCCGGGTCAGCTCCTGTGGCCGCCCCAGCGCTAGGACACCCGCGTTTTCACCTCTGCCTCTCCCAGGCGAGGCCGGCCGCTCCTCCCGGTGGACTCCTCCAGATGAACCCCGACGTGGCCTCGGTTCTCATTCCAGATTCAACCACAAAAAGTGTTGGCTCCACCAACCAAGATAGCAAATGACTCAGCACTGGAAATGGACATTTTACCAACATCTGTGTCCCTGTTATCCCAGCAAGGCCCAGCACATGGCCCCGGGGCCTGCAGGTCTTTAGAAGCACATCCCCATCTGTGAGCTGTGACCTGGAAGTGAGGAGGTGGGAGGGGCACCTCGACACCTCCAGGGTCCTGATCCTGCCGGCCTTCCCTCCTGCTGGGGCTCCCCCGGGGGCAGGATTATCTCCATTCTCACTGAGTACCCAGAGCCCAGTACCGTGCTGGGCACAGGACTAGATCTTGGGAAACTGTTGGACCAATGATTTCCTGGGAGGGCATTTATCAAGTTAAAAAAAAAACCTTGAGCCCTGACCGGTGTTCTCAGTGGTTAGAGTGTCAGCCTGTGCACTGAAAGGTCACAGGCTTGATTCCCAGTCAAGGGCACGTACCTGGGTTCAGGTTCAATTCCCAGCCCTGGTTGTGGTGCATGCAGGAGGCAACCAATGGATGTGTCTCTTTCACATTAATTCTTTTTCTCTCCCTTTCCTCCCTCCCTCTGTCCCTCCTTCCCTTCCTCCCTCCCTCCCTTTCCCCCTGTCTCTTCCACTCTCTCTAAAATCAATGGAGAAAAATATCCTCAGGTGAGGATTAACAAAAGTAATAAAGTCTTGAGGCAGAAAGATCTAACTTCCTTTCCTTGAAGCTCATCTACCCCAGGGAACAGAATAGACGAGACCCTAAGCCCAGGCCCCTGCTCCAACGGGCCACGCTCTGCGCCAAGGACGCCTCTGATCTGGGCTCTGCTTCTTCCCGATCCCTGAGTCATCCTCCGGCAGCGCAGGAACCGGGAGGATGCCAGTCATAATTCCTCGGCTCGACAGCGAGGAGAGCAGCACCTCTGCCTGTCTCTCAGCACGCAGGCGGCACTTGTCTACGCCGCTGTCACGCTCACCAGCCCCGCCGCTCCCACTCCTGGGCCCAGTGTGAATCCCCCCAAACTATTTTTAAAATATCTAATCTGCTGTGAGCAGCAGAGTGTGGGACTGCTACTTCGCCGTTTCTGGGCAGATAGCGCTGACACCGGGCCTTATTAGGTTGTGGCTTGATATTCAAAATGGCGGGACAGGAATATAAAAACAAAGCCGTGCATTTACTCCTTAATGTCAAGTGGTTTGAAATATTTTTAGATTTCTAAAGTGCTTCCCTATTTTTTAAAAAGGCAATTATTTCAAATAAGGATCTCAAAAAAATGGTTAGTGATTTCCATCCAAATAGTCATCCTGGGAAGAGTCAGTGGAAAGAGTCAGGTTTAAGAAAAAACCAAAGTTCATGAATTCATTGAGTTACATCACCTCCCCACATACATGATGAAACAAGCGCTAGTTATTATTTTTAATTGATCTTAGAGAGGGGAAAGGAGAGAGGGAGAGGGAGATAGAGAGAGACAGAGAGAAAGAAACACTGATCACTGCCTCCTGCACACACCCCACCCGGGGATTAAGTCCTCAACTTGGGGATGTGCCCCAACTGGGAATCAAATCAGCCACCTTTTGGTGTATGGGACGACACTTCAACCAACGGAGCCACACCAGCCAAGGCAAGAGTTAGTTATTTTTTTGATACATAACAAATCACTCCATACTCAGTGGCTTAAGATAACAACAAAAATTAATAATCTGTTCTGGGCTAAATTGTGTTCTCCCTCCAAATTTGTATGTTGAAGCTTTAACTCCCAATGTGATTATATTTGGAGACAGGGCCTCTGAAGACGTTACTAAGGTTAAATAAGGTCATGAGGGGGCCCTCAGCCAATAAGATGGTGTCCTAAGCGGGGAGGAAGAGACGCCAGGGATGTGTGTCATGGAGGAAAGATGGTGAGGATACAGCGACGAGGTGGCCCCCTGCAGCCCAGGAGAGAGGCCGCAGGAGAAACCAACCCCACCAGCACCTTGGTCTTGGACTGCCAGCCTCCAGGACCGGGAGCAGTAAACACCCAGCTGTGGTAATGTGTATGGCAGCTCTAGGGGGTTCATAAGCGTCGTCTGTGGTTCCTATGGGTAAAGAATTCATGGGTGGTCCAGCCGGCTGGTGTGGGGCTCTGACCAGGCCTCTCAGTCAGTGTCAGCACACTTTCCAGAGGCTCAAAGCACAAGGAAATGCACTCCCCTTGCTTCCAGGATGCTCTGTTTGCCTGCTTTCCCGGTAACCCAGAATCCTTGTCCTTTGTCCCTTGAATGTATACATTTTCCTGGCTTTCTTTCCCCTGCCACACATTCCTCTGTATTACTTCATCTGCTATGATGGCATAAATGACCACTGTCTGATGACGTTCAAATGTTAATAATTAGCTCCAACCCTGGCTGGTGTGGCTCCGTGGATAGAGCGTCGGCCTGCGGACTGAAGGTTCCCATGTTTGGTTCCAGTCAGGGGCACATGCCTGGGTTGCGGGCTTGATCCCCAGTGGGAGGTATGCAGGAGGCAGCCAATCAATGATTCTCTCTCATCACTGATGTTTGTATCTCCCTCTCTCCCTTCCTCTCTGAAATCAATAAAAATATATTTTAAAAAAATAATTAGCTCACAGCCAATTGCTCTTTGAACACCTCTCTTGAGTGTCCCAGACACCTTATCGTACCGCTACCACCTACACACACACACACGTACAGACATGCACATCACATATGCACACAGACAGCCCATTCCTCTTCCTGTTCTCTTCTCTACACCAGAAAATGCAAGACACCCATCCAGTTTCCCAAGGTAAGACCTCAGGGACCCTCCTTTGCTTCGGCGCTCTTTCCTCTGCAACGAACCAATCACCACCTTCCAAGTCCCTTCCAGGCAGCCTCTGAGACAGCTCTGTCCTTCCGATTCTAGTCCACTTCTTCCCGCTTCAGCCGCCCCCTGAGCTGCCTCATTTCCTGCTGCGTCTCACCTGAGCTCCGGAGGCATCCAAACCCGATCTGACTCCACGCCCAGCCAGGAGGGATCACCCTAAAACGCAGGCTGGTTACTGCTCCCCCTGAGGAAGGAACAGCCACGTCCTGCCGCTGCATGCGGCTCCTCCGCTCAGGGACTCTGGGCCGGGGCTCCTCCCATAACAACCATGCGGGTCCTGTCAGTTCTCTGGCACTAGTCACCAGTCTGAACCTCCCGAGTGGACTAAGGCTCCTTCCGGCCGCTGAGGGATTGACTGTCTCTCGGATCCCTCAAATGGTCACTGTGCTGTTAATGAAGCGAACACCACAGGCTCTGTCTCCGCCTGGTGAGGTGGCTCACCTTGTCACCATCGCCCTGTTTCAGGCACATCCCAGGAGCTTCCTAAGAATTTGCTGAGAAAATAAACGACGAAATGAGAGCTCTCTACTACACGTCCCACTCATTCCTGCCCCGCGTCGTGGCTCACTTTTCCCTACAAGGCTCCCTACCTGTCCCTTCCTGAAAGCTGACCAGGGACTCAGGCCCAGCTCAGCGGGCACCTCTGCCCGGGAGCCTCCACTGCCCTGGGCAGATGTGACTTCCCCTCCTGCAGGGACGACTAGACTGTCTGCTTCCCTACTTACTCACCAACGTACCTCTGTCTTTCCCTAACCTCTCCCAGCCGCAGTCTGCCCCCAAGGCTGCAGCCCTAGAAGCCGGGAGCAATGCTCGCCTTTTCCCTCCGTACCTAAAACACACAATTCCCTGCAGAGCACAGAGCTAGTGAAACAGCCACGAGGGACAAGAGTCACAGGATGTCCTCTGCACGACGGCACATCTCCTTTCTCCCACAGATAGCTGTTCCGGACGGGACACACACACACACACACACACACACACACCCGCAGCCATGGGGAAGTCCTAACCCCCAACACCTGTGACCGTGACTGCACTTGGAAGTTAGGCATTGAGATGTCATCAAGTTACGATGAGGTCATACTGGGTCAGGCTGGGCCCTGGTCCAATATGACTGATGTCCTTATAAGAAGAGGAAAATCCGGACAAAGACAGACAGACAAGGAGGGAAGAAGCCACGTGGGAGGGAGCAGAGGGCGGAGTGATGCTGCTGCCAACCGAGAAGAGCCTGGGGCCACGGGAGCTGGAGAGACCTCGAGCCCCGGAGACCTCGGAGGGCCTGTCCCACCAGCACCTGGATGCCAGGCCGGCAGCGTCCAGAGCCGAGCAGGCCTCCTGCTGCCATCAGGCCCCCAGCTTTGCCTCCAGGTCCCACCAGCCCCAGGAGAGGAAGACAACCGCACCAGGGCTGTCTGCACAGATCCATCTACGGGAGGCTTACGTCCTCGCCGAGCACAGACCGAATGCAGAGCATCTGTGTGTGGAACGCGGGCCGGGCAGGCCAGAGGGACGGAGTCCCCGTGCCCATGTGCAGGGCGTGTGGGGTGCAGGGCTCCTCCCTGAAGCCTCGCCCTCCTCCTCGGAAGGAACAGGGACACTGCTCCCCCTCCAGGCAGGCCCCCCTCAGCATGCTGCCCTGCTCCAACATCAGAAAACTCTAGAAGCAGATTCCCACTTAAAAAAGCTGTGTGTTTGTTTGCTTTCTGCTTGGCCTGTAATGTGTCACCTTAGTCTCCCACTCAAGCTAAATGCAAACAAAACGTGTGTTTTTTTTAAGAAGTGGTAGGACAAAGAGCTGTTTCCGGCCATGTCCCAGGTGTTACCACTTATTACGAGCTTTCAACCTGCCCACGCCGTGCCCCCTGCCTCCCCCCTTTCCTCGCTGCCTGTGCTTCCTGATTCATACCCCACCTGCCTGGAGCCGCACCCTGGCTTCAGGGGGCACCCTCAGCCTGGCCCCGCCTCCCAGGCAGGCCGCGCCCTGACTTACGGTTCTGGAGGGAGCGTAGTGAGCGGGGGACGCCGGGGGCCGGGCCGGGCTGTGGGAGGCCAGGCAGAAGCGCTGGCCTGTGTCCGCGGGGGAGGACGAGGCATAGATGCGGTTCTCCAGTCGCTCAGGCTCCTGCTTGTAGGACTCGAGGGGGAAGGAGTGCTGCTTGGCCACCTGGGTGGGCGTCGATGGCGATGGCGAGGAGGAGAGGCCGGAAGCTGGGGAGAAACCACAGGGGCTGTTAGAGGTCTGGGGGTGGGCGAGGGGGTGAGGGTGGGGGTGGGTGTGAGGGTGGGTGTGGGTGGGGGGGGGTGGAGCAGAGCGAGCTCCTCCACTTCCAAGAGCCCAGATCTCAAGAGGCAAGAATGAGGAGGTTACACTGACTTCTGGGGCAGGCCTGTGCAAACCGAGGGCTCAAACCCTAAGAAACCCTTCACCCAGCCGGAGTCCTGGCGGCCCTGCCTCGGGGCGCTGGCCGGTCAGGGTGGCCTGGGTGGAAGTTTTCTAGGACACACGTCGTCGGAGGCTGTTTTCTCCCCTTTAGTCCAACATCCCGGGAGCCCTGCCCCCCCCCCTCCCCCCCCGGAGCCCTGTCATCCCTCCGGAGCCCTGACCTCCCCCCAGAGCGGGTGCCAGGCACGGCGAGGCACCAGGCGGCCTGGATAAGACGCGGGAAGTCACAAGGTATTGGACAGGGACAAAGGTCAATGGCAACAGACGCTAAGGACCACACGGGACACAGCACGAACCTGCCCCCCCGTCCGCAGGTGAGGATTCACGAGGAGGTGCTGGGGGACTTCAGGGCGGAGGCAGCAGGGACCCGGCCTTGCAGAGCGACGGGTCAGGGCCAGGGGCCAGGAGGACGCAGGGGGAGGCGGGGCTGTGAACGTGCCAGGAGTGGGCTGTCCCCTGGGATGGGGCCTGTGCAGCGGGGCTCAGCATGAATTGGAGCTGGTGCTGCGTAAGATCAGTGTTCTGGGCTGAACTGTGTCCCCTAAAGAGACAGGCTGACGCCCCAACTCCCGGTCCCAGCGAATGGGACCTTACTTGGAAACAGCGTCTCTGCAGACGCCACCAAGGTAAGGTGAGATCAGACTGGAGGAGGTGGGTGAGAAGAGAGGACCCAGAGTCCCCAGCAGAGAAGGCGGCGGGTGCCAGAGGCAGACCCTGGGGTGAGGGATCCACAAGCCGCCAGAAGGGGGGAGAGGCAGGAAGGACTCGAACCCGAGGTCCGAGGAGGGCGCCTGCCGGCCCGGGCCTCCGAGTCCAGCTCCTGCACCCGGAGAGCCCACGCTGCTGGGGAAGACCAGGACACGGTCACGCAGGAATGCTTCCCGATACTGCCTTGTTTTCAAGAGAAACCATCGGGATTTGGGTCTGGCCTCTCACATCTCCTAGGTGACTGGATGAACATTTTATTTTAAGTGTGTTAGTCAGACTATTTAAGTCACATGAGTGAAAGCAAAGGTGCCCCGGACACGGCCAAGGCTACCACTGCTGCTTCTGACCTAGAGCTGGTCAGACTGGTCAGCCGCGAAGCCTCACCCCTCCTTCGCCGTGCCACCCGCGCCACACTCCAGACCCGTCCCCAGGCCCTGGGCGCTGTCCCCTCCTGTGCCTGCACTCCCCCGGGCCTGCACTCGGGCGCTGCTGCATCCACTCCTGACCTCGCCCCAGCCTCCCTCTCCGGAGTCCCCGGAGCTCCGCCTGTGGGGGGCCAGCCATCACTGGAGGCGTCCAACCCCAACCCCAACCCCAACCCCAACCGTGCAGGGCGTGCGCGCCGGTCCTGCCTGCCCTGGGGGAGGGGGGAGGGGGAAGGCTGGCAGCCCAGGGCAAAGGCCAGAGGGAGGCGGGGGGGGGGGGGGGGGGGAAGGGGGGAAGGAGGAAGGTGGGGAGGGGGGAAGGCTCAGGCTTCGTTCCAGGCTCCTCTCCCTCTGGTGCCCAGAGTGTGGGCTGCGTTTCCGGGGGGCCGTTTCGGAAGTAACCAGTGAAAGGGGGTGCCTTTCCCAGGAGCCCCGTCCCACGAGGTCACACCCGGAGCCTCCGCCCCAAGCTCAAGCTGGCCGCGGGCGCAGCGGACACCGGACGCTCCACACGCGAGTCTGCGGGTCTCCGACCTTCCGAACCGGAGGGCCTCCACGCAGAGCCCGGTGCTGTGGACACAGGGGTTCGCCCCCAAAGGTCTTGGGAAGCAAGGGCTGCCTGAGGCGAGGCGGGGTGTGTGTGTGTGTGTGTGTGTGTGTGTGTGTGGAGGGGGGAATGGGAGGGGGAAAGGGGGAGGGAGGAGAGTGAGGACCAAGAGCAGGAAGAAGCTGATGGCCTGGCAGCGCCTCAGGGGACCGGCGTCCAGCAGGCAGGACAGCACGGGAGGCCCCTGGCCCCGGCCCAGCGTCGTGGCACCAACACTCCCCAGCGACGCCAGAGAAGGGCGGGGAATGCAGATGCCAGCCCGGCTCAGCGTGGCTGCCAGAGCGGTGTCTGCGGACCAGAAGGCTCTGCTGTGCTGGTGTCTGTGGGGCCCGCGCACCTCCCTGGCCTCAGGCTCCCGGTGTGTGTGTGTGTGTGTGTGTGTGGGGGGGGGTGTCCATCAGTGATTCTTCCAGTGGCCGAGTCCTCACAGGGGCACCAGCCCGGCTGCTGTCGGTGATGCCAGGACGAGCTAGTTCCTAGCGCCACATCCAGTAGAAAATGTTATGGTTCACGCTCCTAACGCTCGCTCAGGCCCCTGGGCACAGGCTTTCCTGGGGGCTGCTCGGCATTCCGGAGGGTGGGGGCGGGCTGGAGACCCTAAGGAGGACGGAATAGAGCAGGCTGGGATGCTGGCAGTTTAGGGAAAACCACATCCTAACAGCCTGCAGGAGCCTCGAGGACAGAGCCCTCTTCAGGGGGCCTGCCCCCTGAGTGCTGGCACCCCGAGGTGAAGCGAAGAGCACCCAGGTGACCTAACTTGAGGCACAGTCCGAACCAGCCCTCCCCTGGGCCAGCGACCCCGCTTTCTGGCTCAGACCACCCGTGAAGGATGACCGGGCCCCGAGGAACTCCGCAGCTCTGGGAGGCTTTCTGGCAAGGTGGACCGGAACCACCGACGCATGCATTCCTCGCCATTCCGCTCTGTCCCGTCTGCAGATGGAGCTGTGGGCTGCCAAACGGCGCTCCGGAGAGCACCCACCGGAGGCAGGGTGCCCGGCCACAGGAAGAGCTCACCGCGCCGGCTCAGCCGCACCCACAGCACGTTTGGACCGGGCGTGCAAGCCCCTCGGTCCTTTCATCTCTGAGAGCGGGAGTGAAAAAAGCACACCGCACGCCATCTGTATGGAACGATACCACTTCTAGTTTCTAAAAAGGGAATCTCACACACACACACACACACACACACACACACCCTGCCTGTCTGCATGAGCCCCGAGTGTCTCTGGAAGGATCTGGAAACGCTGTCACCAGACTCAGGAGCAGCTGGCAGGAGAGACTTCTGTCGCAGGCCCTTTTCTGCTTTTCAACTTCTATGCTATCTGTTCAGAAAAGTACTGTGTGCAGGCTGCCATTCTGCTTCTGAGCAAGAGGCTGGCTGACCGGGAGGAAGCAGGAGCCTGCTGCCCTGCCAGGCCCCAGCGCCCTGTTCCCGCCGGTCTGTCTCCGGAGGAGACCAAAGGCTTGGAGGGTGGGGTCCGGGCTTCCTGTGCACAGAGCGCATGCTCCCAGGACAGGCTCCCTCCTGCTCCGTGACAGGCCCCCCCCCCCCCCCCCCCCAGCATCCTGCAGGGACCACTCATAGCGGCAGAACACCAACATCTCAAGTGCAAACAGTTACAGACCTGGGCTCAGCGGCCAGCCTGCCCACCCCAGAGGCTCCTCCTCTGGCTCCCCTCCGAGCAGCCGTCCCCAGGCAGAGCTGCCAGATCCCGACCCCAACGAGACCAGACGGACTGAGGACACAGAGAAGCTGGGCGCTCAGAGCGCAGCCCGGACAGAACCTCGCTGGGGGCGGCTGCGGAGAGAATAAGCGGGTTTTCCTCGGGGGAGGGAACAGGCTGTTACAGAGGATTCCTCGCCGCCCTCAGAACCTCTCTCCCTGACACCTTTCCAAGCTCAGAAGATGCTTCCCGGCCGCCCTGGCCTCCCTGCCTCCTCTCCGCTCCCCTCCCAGAGCGGGTGGCCTTTGTGGCCGCAGGGGAGGGGAGCGTGAGGGAGGGACAAGGTAAATGACGTGTGAATCCGGAGTGCGGTGTTTAGGTACAGGGGAAGAACCTTCCGGAGCCAAAACCACGCCCCCTCGGCGGAGCCCTGCGGTGTGCCAGGTCTCACACGCTGCTCCACGGGCCACGCGGAGCCACTGCAGGGGAGGGGGGGCAGGTTTACACCGCTTTTCGGATGAGGAAATGGGGGGCTGGAGAGGTGACTCCTCCCGGTCATTCAGGGGGTAAATGGCAGAGGTCACACCTGAACTCGAGTGTCCTGACTCCCCATGCCAAGTCCTTTAGCCAGGATTAAACACGGACATCGCCCAGAGAAAGCACACAGACTGCACACCACCCTTGGGGGTATGATGGGTGCAGGGAGGAGAGGGTGGGCTTCCCGCCACGGGGGCTGGGCTGGCAGGATGGGCCTCCCCGGGGGTGGGGGTGCTTCTCTCCAGCATCAGCCGGGAAGGTGACACGGCCAGGTGGAGAGAGTCAAGTGCAGGTCGCCCAGGCAGGAGGCGCCCAGAGAAGAGCGAAGCCTTATCCTCAGTCTCTAATCGCTACCAGACTTCAGATTATCCGTGTCTAATCCTGGCTGAAGGATTCAGTGTGGAGTCGGGACCCTGGAGTTCAGGCTGGTGGGCGGGAAACTCCCAGAGACACGGGGAGGCCTGCCTCCTCTCCAGGCAGAGGAAGCAGATCTCCCCAACGAGGGGCCTTCCCGATGGGCCCCAGAACGGACAGGTTCCCCGCTGAGCTCTCCTGGGAAGGCTTCCCCTTCCTCTCTGGTTCCTAAAGACGTTGTTCAGGACGGCTGTCGCCTCTGAGGGGGACAATGCCTTTGGTTCTTCATGGGCAGCAGCCAGGCCGAGTGAATGGGCTCAGGGCAGGAGCAGAACCAGCTCCTGGCAGCCACACAAGACATCAGGCAAGTGGCCCCAGACACCAGGGAGCCAGGAGCCGGTGATTTCACAGGCTGTGCTGGCACGAGCTGCGTCTGGAGAGAAGGGGAGGGTTTGGCAGGGAGAAGAGGGAGC